TGTGGGCGGGGTGGGAGCTGCGGCCGGTCTTTACATTTAAAATTCAGTTTATATGCAGCTACCCCGAAAGTAAGACCTAGCGGATTTCTGTAATATAAGACCTACCACCAAACTAGGTCTTATTTTCGGGGTAGGTCTTATATTACAGAAATCCCTGAAGATAGCGCTAGGTCTTACTTTCGGGGTAGGTCTTACTTTCGGGGAAACACGGTATTGTTACTTTAGAGTACCTGTCCTTTTTTTGGTGGGTGGTATCCTGCACCTCTAAACCTTCTCTCCTAGTGTTCTTCTAAAGACTAAGTAACTGTAACCCAACTTATTTTTTCCTCACTATACACCAAGGACCAGATTTTGAGATTGAAATTGTTAGTCTTCCACACTGTTTTTAAGCGGTCAATAAAACTGTACTTCCAGACTCTTCCACACTGTTTAGGTGGTCATTCGGCACCATACCAAGAGGGAGCACTTTAAGAACTATGTGTAGAGTATTTGCTGGAGCAGACACACAAAGCAAAAAAATCAGGGGTGTGGCTTGGCGCTAAAGGAAGATGACCGCATGTTAAGTGAGCTCCTGCCAAACTGGGCAGACTTTAGCCTTTTCACCAGCATGAGATGGCCAAAATTGGATGCCAGACTGCAGCAGTTAAAACCCTGACCTCACAATCCACCCTCTCAATTCCTGCTATGTTCCAATCTCAAAGGTCGTAGACACCCAGGAGCTCCCCGCTTTCTGACCGCAAGGATTCGGAGCCCAACGGGCCAGACAATCATGCATTAGATCAGGTGCCATCTTACATCAGCCAGCTGCCTTAATGTGCAGACCTGATCTCTATGGTAGCTGAGATTAAAAATGTGCTTTCCACAGCTGTAGCAGATCTCCATCAGAGATGTGACTGCCCACCTTGCAGTATTAGAGCAAGCTGCTTTACGCAGAGACGACATGTTGCAGTCCACCAAGCAGCTGGTGGCCTCACATAAGCAACACCTGATTGCGCTACAGAGGCATGTTAAGGTTCTGGATAATCGTTGTCGTGGTCGATTTGGGGTTCCCAGAATCCGTGGAAACAGGCACCAGGCTCACAAGCAATCATTAATGATATTCTTTCCAGACCCCCCAAATCCCTGATCAAATTGGAAAGAGCACATAGGGCACTATGTGTGCGTGGCCAAGACTCAGACCCACCAAGAGATGTTATGTGCTTTTTTTGTCAGCTGTCAGCTTAAATAGGAAATCTTACAAAACTCTAGGAGATGGGAGTCAATCACTTACAATTATGAAATGATACAGATCTTCCAAGACCTCTCCTCTATCATGCTACAAAATCGCAGGGATCTGCACCCTCTCCTGGCTGAACTCCACCAGCACAACATACCGAAGGCGATTCTTTTTTGGCCTCTCAACCTCCAGATCGGGGCACACAGCGCTCTTGAGAATACCTGCTGACCAAGATTTCTGTGATGTCCTTCATCTGTGTCTGCTCTCATTGCTAGATTGGTATGCTGCATTTTAACTAACAGATGGGTGGTCGGATGTCCCGGAACCGGGACTGTAGATACCTTTGGTTGGGGCTAATCTTTCTAGAAGTCAGCGATCCTGCCGAGCTTTAGATCCAGAGTCATTGCAGCCCTCTCCATCTTCCCAACTTGGCACCTCCAAAAAGGAGGAGAAGACGGTACTGGAGAGGCCTGCTCAGTGAGGTCAACCCTTCTTGTTTTATATATATATACATAAGTATGCAGTGCCCCTGTGTTTATTGTGTTTTCTGTCTTTTTTTTTCCAAAATAGTTTATTTAGGCTTAAACAAGGTCACCATGTGACCTTAAGAATACAGTACAGTACACGCATTTGTTCTCTTTTTTTTGTTTTTGTTTCTCGTGTTTTGTTAACCAAGTCGCGGGTGGACCACATTCATCAAGAAGTACAACATGCGGAATAACATGACAGTATGCACAATATCTTGGTCTTGTACATAGACATATAAATATATAAATGTGAGGATTTAAAAGGGACGACCCAATATCGAGAGTCCCATCACAATATTCGATTTTAAGGGAGTCACTATATACTGATCTAGTTGTCCACAAGGTAATAGGGGAACGTAGAAGGATTCTGCCAGTCGTTTGTAATTCGATCGTCTTCCACGTCCCCCTATTGACTGCGGCCGACTCCTTTTATCCTCCCAGCAATGGACATCAAATCGCATTTTTTTCTGCATGTTAAGTCAGATCAAAAAGAGATAATCAAAAAAAATAAAGAACTTTCTCTTTAACATATTGAAAACATAACCCAAATATTATCATATTATCTAAGTTGCAGTCAAAACTCACCAGCCTTTGCAGCACACTCTCGCAGAACCCATCCATTAGTCTCGCAGTCTCTTCCCCGTGTCCTCTCCACCACATCCTCATCCAGATACCTCAATGGGCTTAGCGCCAAATCATAGACATGTGCAGGGTTATTCACAAAAGGTTGAAGAGTTTGTAGAAGGCAGGAGAATGGAACAATCTAGGCCAAAATAGCTGACTTGGAAAAGTTCTCCAATTCGGCTGACTTTCCTGTACAGGTATGTTTCCCTAGATTGTTCCCTTCTCCTGCCTTCTCCAAAATCTTCACCCTTTAGTGAATAACCCTGATGGTATCATGCAATAAAAATTGATCAATGGGATATCTCCCTTGTTTCCAGCCCATCTCCCTTGGTGACACGGTCAGTTACTCTGTAAGGGCAAATCTCCCTAACGATCCTTGTAGTTCCCCTTGCAGATACCAAGTAGAGTATCTAAAGGGGCAAACAACTTCCATCAATTCCACATCCTGTAGGTGATAGAGGAGAAAGGGAATCCATTGATTGAAAAAAAAATTTGTGGACTGGTCCATGTCCATGATGGACTCTAGGCGTTCTTGCCACATTTAAGTGGTGACCGATTCCACAAATAGTTTCTAGGGAGGTGGGCAAGGATTCAACCAAAATGTCATCAGTAGTCTTCTAGCTAATAAAAACCACATCATATTGCTCATCTTGAGGGTGGGAGGTGAGTCCCAGTAACTAAATAAGCACAACCAAGGTTCCTGTGGTATTGGTATCCCCATGATGTTAGTCAGTAGGGTGACAATCTCCGTCCAGTAAGCAGATATAACTGTACAATGCCATAGGCAATGGATCAGATCAGCACCCGAGAGACCACATTTTGGGCATGCTTGTAAGTAAGGGGTTAGAGCCTTGATTTTAAGAAAGAAGTCAAAGCCATAGTATGCTTTATGCAGGATGTGAAATCGTGTCTCTCTCCAGAGCTCATTTGTTGTGCAATGTCTGACATTCTGATAGCCTTGGAGCATTTTCTCATAAAAGTCTACCGGGAATGTTTTGTGCCATTTCATTACCGAGGATTTTGTCGGTTTGTTTTCTGTCTTAGTGGTTTGCAAGCCCTGAACTCATCTCCTTCAGGCTTTGTTGTTTCTATCTTTGCTGCTTAACAAGATATAACTTTATTGGCTGTGCTGCCCCTGCTTTTTGACACACGGACTGCCACTCCCTTTACATGGTCATGTTGGCTGGACGTACATAGTATTTGAGGTTGAATAAAGTCATATGTCCATCAGGTCCAACCTATTTACACTTACACTTACTGGTTTACACTTCAATGTTATCTCAGAGACTTTGCTGCCTCAGTATTTTGCTCCAGTGTGGCCCGTCTCAATCTCTACTAAGCAATGCTATGTTTGTACCCCTCTGCTAACAGTTAACAGGGGCTTTGAGACTTTTGAGTGCTTACAGTGTTAGTAGCTGGTTGTTGCATCGCAGGCATTTGTTGTTCACATTTATAGCCACTACTGTTATCTATTCTCATGCTGCAATGCCTGTTTATTCCAGTTTGTTTAAGTGTTTCCTATACATTTTGGTCATGATGTGGTGCTACTGGCTGTCGGTCTTGTGCGTCACCCTCCCTGCTTGCTCGGGGGCGGATGCCAGTTGCTTACACTTGGGGCCCTCGATTAAGTTTTTTTTATTGCACTATATGTATTCCTTCTGCTCCTGTGACACTATATTTGTGCTACAGGGTCCCAGAGCCTGTGTTCTATGCGCAGTGGGATAGCCTTTTAACTGATGGTGTCTAATGTCTCTGTTTATAGGATGTCATGTTACCTTGATGGTTGCGTAATCTTTGTGGATACCCATGCACGGTTTTGGCGGGTTTCTTGCTTTTTGCACTGTGGCATTGTATGTGCGGCTGTGAGTGTTACCCGGTGTTGGTGGTTTGGTGTGAAATGCCAGTGATTCTTTCATTTGACATGACGTGTTCTCTCTGAAATCCCACAACTACGGTGGCTTTAGCTGTGTGTTGGATACTGCTCGTTATGCTAGCTTTCCCATGACAGTTTGTTTTTACTGTTTACTGACTCCCTTGTTTATGCCTTCTCTCCCATTTTAAAACCTGTTTGGGGAGTTTTGCGCTTTATTAGCTGTTCATAATCCAGTTTCCCTACCTCCGTTAATAGCTGGGCCCGCTAACCCAGATTTCTTTTTTGGTCTTGACCCCTTTGTTCTTTCTTGACTATCCCCCCACGTGGCAAGGAAACCTAACCTAGCCACGCAGATGTAGTTTGTCTTGAGCTTGTGGTCCCTAGTTTTTTGATGCTAGGGATCTTTTCCAGATCTTTCTTCCCTTCCACCTGTACTTCTCAGAGTAACCCTCACCTCTCCCCCACCCACACCTTTCGCTTCCCTATTTCCCTTTACGTTTCTCCCTTTCCTTCTTCCTTTCTCCTCCCTTTAGCACCCCCTTTTTTCCCTTTCTTTCTCCTCTATCTGTCATGGCTCCACGGGACTCAGTTCCACATGTTTTCTCATCTTCAATATGGAAATTCCTGCTTCTCAATGTGCAGGGTCTGAATATTCCAGAGAATATCCCGCCTCTTACATCAGGCTCACCAGTGTAGGGCTCACATAGTTTTTGGTCAGGAAACACATTTCAAACAAAAGGCCATACAAAAAATCTGTAATCACAGATACCCTGTTGCATATAACTCTACTAGTCCAATCCAGAAAGCTAAAGGAAAGCTAAAGAATCTCTATTCTTTTTTATCGCCATGTTCATTTTGCTCTAGAATACAAACTTAAAGACCCAGAGGGAAGATACATTTTCCTGAAAGAATTCACCAAACTCCAATTGCTTTGGCTAATATTTACTGTTCCAACAAGCAGAAATCTTCCTTTATATCCAAAGTGGTTAACCTGCTACAGTAATTTTCTTCTGGCCTTCTGGTCCTCGGCAGCAAATTTAATATTCCTCTTCATCCAACTTTAGATTCTTCCACGGGATCCTCCTCCTTAACTTTCCATTCTCTCAGCTTTAAGGAGCTTGTCATCCCTTGACCTACATAATACGTGGAGAGCCCTACATCCTTCCACTAAGGATTACACCGTTTTCTCAGCCCCTTGTAAGAAATATTTGAGGCTGGATTACTTTATTTCTCAAAAAGATCTCTTGCAGCTTCTATTGAGCCAATGCTCATTTTGGATCATGCTCCGATTACTTTCTCTATCTCCTAAGCAGACCTTGAAAACTAAATTTCACTCTCTGCTGAGTGACTCAGCTGTGGTCTCTTCCATTTTATCTACTATTGCAAACTACTTTTGTGAGAATTCCACCCCAGATGTGTTACCCACTAACGCTTTGGGAGGCACACAAATGTGTAGTCCATGGACCTTATGCTTGGAAAACTCAACTAAAGAAAGTTCACCAACAGAGTGTAGCGGATCTAGAGGCCCAGATTAGAACTCTAGAGCAGACACATTAAAAGTCTCTAGCCGATAGCGAACTCACAGACTTGACTTCTTTACACAACCAATTGAAAGAGCTTGTAGATATTCATACTAAGAGAGCATTTACTCTTTCTTACAAGATTTTCTATGAACATGGCAACATTTCTAGCTAGGGTGCTTAAAGCGAAGAAGATTACCAGCACAGTAGAATGAATCTGTTACTACCAGGGTGCTCTTTATTATAAGATGGAAGACATAGCTGCTAAATTTTGCTCAAATTATGAACAACTATACTCTTCCCTATCACAGTCCCGTTTAGCCAGCAATTTGCAAATTAGCTCCTTTTTACAACCTACAGCCACTCGCCTATCTCCTCCAAACAGGCGCAGTCTCTTGAAAGTCATTCTTGTCCACTCTTTCTCCCAAATTTCTGTCCACATTTAACTCTCTGGCTGACACCCCACTACCTACCTCCTAACAGCTTTTGGAGGCTCATATAGTAGACACCTAGAAGGGAAGGACAGTGCTTATTGCTGCAATTACAGACCCATTTTATTGTTAAACATAGACCTGAAGTTATACGCCAAGATCTTGGCTAATCGTCTACTCCTTTTGGTGGACTCTTTGGTTGATTTGTACCAAGAGGGGGACTGGGGACAACACAACAAAAGCACTCAATTTAGCTTACTGGGCTTCCAGGTCCAATAAAGAATGCTTCTTCTTGTACACAGATGCAGAAATGGCATTCAACAGAGTAGCCTGGCATTATATGGAGGTGGTCCTTCATCACCTGGGCCTTGAATCTCAAATGGTAGCCAAGATTCTTGCTTTGTATCTTAAACCCTGGGCTAGTGTGCAAGTTAACAGATACCTGTTGAATGCCTTCTGCATATGCAACAGTACCAGACAGGGGTGTCCCCTTTTTCCCCTAATTTTTGTTTTATCTTTGGAACCATTTTTGTGACTCATTAGGGAACACACTGCATTAGTGGTCTACTGGTGGGGAACCCTGAATACAAAGTGGCTGTATTTGCGGACACTTGTTTGCTTATCCTCTCCTGCCCAGTCCAAACCCTCCCCGCCTTAATGTCTGCCTTAGCTCAATTTCAAACTTCAAAATCAACTTTGCCAAATCATTTGCGCTCAATATTTCACTTCTGTTTGAGGTCGTGGACCATTGTAAAAAGATTATCATGCATGGCAGTTGTCAGCTAATAAATATTTAGGCATACAACTCCAAGCCAGGATTGTCGATACCTACCGACTGAATTCCATCCCTTTACTCCAAGCAATAAAAGATCTCTCACAATAGCATAAACTAAATACTTTGTGGTCTGGGAGGGCTGAAATTTTAAATATGAATATTGCTTTCAGGATATTGTATTTCTGCTAATTCAGATACATAGAGCATTTTTCTGTTGCGTTTGTTCCTCCTTCAGTTCCTTTTTATGGGGCAACACATCTCCCAGAATTGCCTTCTGAACTCTTACTGCTCTGAAACCTCTGGTGGCATATGGCTTCCCGATATGGAACAGTGCTATTGGGTGTGCCATCTTACCTTGCTTCTCGATTGGAATGCTCATGGCTCACAAAGGATTAGGTGTCAATTAGAGCAAGCTGTGTCTCCTTATCCATTGTCTTCCCTTCTGTGAATTAATCCCAAAATTTCCTTCAGACTCTCACTCACCACCCTCTGATTGGACCCACCTTGCATATTTGTAAGAAAGAAAACTCTAGAGCACATCTGACATCTGTGCTGGGCCCTCTAACCCAGATTTCGTACCTGGTCTGTCTCCTACCTTTCTCTCTATGTGGAGACCCGAAGAGAACATTAAAGCCAGGCTTTTCTTTTATAAAGACCTTTTCAAGGAGAGACAAACCCTTATTGCTATGGCAGCCGACAGCCGATTGCAAGTATAGATGAAATGGAGGAATTGATTCATATGGCCCTTGATAGGCTCTCCCAATATAACTTTACCTGGGCATGCTGGTTCCATTTCAAGGCAACGCCTGCCTTCTGTTAGGAGTGATGGACACCTAAATTGGAATGGTTTGGTGTTTGCTGACGTATGTTTGTATTTAGCCAGGTGGTGCGCTATGACTGGTGTTTTTCTTCTTTCTCTTCCTTTGCTTGGTGCATGTTATTACCCTCTCTTCTTCACTGCTTAGTTTTTGGTCTTCTGCTTTCCTCATCCTTATTTTCTGTGGCTTTCTGACTGCCCTTCTTCTGTTTCCCATTCCTTCTCCTTTTCCTGTCTATCTGAGTTATTTCCCCTTTTTTGTTCTATCTTTCTTTGTTCCTCACCTTTTACCTCTTCCCACCCATTTCCCTCCCACCTTTCCTCCCCCTCCAACCCTCTTTTTTCTTTATCTCTCAGCCTGTTCCCTTCCCTCCCTGGAGCTTACAAACGTGACCTTGTCATTTGTTGATTTTTATATCCAAGGATCTTGCTATTATGTACTGTAATGGCAGGATTCCTCCAGCTCAATTGTCCAATGTTCACAATTTCTTTTCTGGGTTAACCTCTTTTATACTGTTGTTACGCAACATTTTTTTCTTTCACCTTATTTTGTCTGTTCGATTGTTTATGTACATGTTTTCAACTGTAGTGCAATGTTCCTTATTTTTTTTAAATTTACAGTGTTTACTTCATTTGTTTCTTATTTCAAAAAACCTGTTTCTTTTTTGAAAAAAAAAAGGCAAAAAAACCCCCAAAAAGCAACAAGCATTAGATTTTAATAACAATTTAAGCAAAGATATTCCTCCAACGTAATTGTACATTGTGCAACAAAACAATTATATTTATTTAATCATCATAGAATATTGCAATCCCAATAATATATATTCAGAAAGCTTTAGCACCAGCGTACAGCACTTTATTTTCTGATGTGACTGTAATTTTAAAATTTCATTGGACTCACTTTTTTGAAAATACACTTATCTTGGTGTGTTATCCTTAGGGCCCGATCACATCCAAGCGTAGCATTAATCACATGACTCAAGCACTCAACACCAACACAACGTACGGTATTGCAGTACCGCATGTTGCATTGCAGCACATGGCGGCTGAGAGATGCATTGGTTATCATTTGAATAAATGGCAATGCAATGCACCTTACACACAGTAAAGCATGCTAGGTGCATTGTATAATCATGTGCATTAATCCCATGGAATCATGTGATTAACACTACATGTAAATGTGAACGGGCCCTCATACCCAAAAATTCAACATTTTCTAATGAACACATATCGCATTACCTAGTTTATATAAACTATCTAATCAAACCCTGACAACATAGTTTGCCCACTATTCTTGTTAACACTGGATGTTTGCTTATATAAAGGCAAGACACTAATGTTTTTTCATCTAGAAGTGGAAGCTGGACAGAACATTGAGCAGTAAAAAAAAGGCCCTACTTTCTTCTTTCTTGCTTCTCACTGTTTTGGTGATCTGTGAAGGCCAATAAGAAGAATATACTTGCATACAGAACATACACTCTTAGTTCAACACAGTTTTTGTTTGGCCTTTTCTTACATGTAATAATTCATGTTATCTATTTACAGCCCTAACAAGACCCAGTAAGTTTTCCTTTTCCTTTTCCTATAGGTGACTAATCAGATATTGTGATAAGAAGAGTATACAAGTTCCTTTTGTTATAGATTTAGCTGAAGTGTAGAACAGATCTGTAGGGAATAAGTTAGGCTGTCTGTGTATGATTCAGGCTTGATAAGAAAAACTGCTAGGAGATGCTGTGGAGTGCCCAGTGGGCTTTGCAGAAAGGATATTGGAGATTTAGGAACAGGTAAGCATGACATTTAAAAGGATAACTATTAAAATTACAGTTATCCTTGAAATAGCTCTCACAGACATATATCTGGGATAAGATATCCCTAAGCTAAAAACAATTGTATATTACATAACTTGAATTGCCTGCATTGCCTGTCAGAGCAGACATCTATATTAATACTTTACTACTCCCAATGCCATATAAAAAGATGTCAGCACTGTGTCCAAAACTGCATGCTTTACAATAAATGTGTTAAAGAAGAACTCTGGACAGTTAAAAAAAAATAACCCTTGCAGTGGGGCAACCCCTGAACTGCACCTAGACCTGTCCCTGCAGCTAATTCTCCGCTGCGCTCTGGGGGAAATGACCCATAACCTCATCACAGCTATACAATCTGTTAGACATGAAGATGCTGAGAGACATTCCACAGTCGGAGCAGAGGGGGAGAGAGGTGAGCCGTCACCACAGCGGGACTGAGGATCAGGCGAATATGTCATTTTTATTTTGGACTCTTGATTAAAAAATAAAAATTCACGTCCTGCCTGCTGTAACTGCGGTTTTAACATTCAAACCAGTTATTGTCTGGAAAATCCTTTCTGTACATCATATACATAGTACAACATAAAAGTAGTTAGTGTAGCGTTCACCCCCGTAGGAGCCGCTGAATATGAACTTGGGCTCTCCTACCTGTTTTGCCAGCCACCGGCCCCTTTCTCAGATCAAGCAACCCCGACACTCTGGAACAGAACAGGCTCAAGTCATAGGGTCTTTTCAACATTTACTGCACAGGATCAACAGGAGAGAGGATTTGGGATTGTAGGATACCCAGGTAATAATTTAGAGGACTCTGTATTCTCCCGTAGCAATGGCTAGAATCAGTAGCACAATGGTCCTTTAAGAGCAACCAGTAATAGAAATAGCACAGAGGACAGCCAGGACCTTGAGAGAGAACTATCTCTGGACTTCTAATGCAACAACTGGCTGCTCTTCGGTAAAACACCTGGGAATAGGGTGAGGGATCTCTTACAGGGTTCCAGACAGTAGCTCTCACCAGCTCCTCTGCAACACTCCACCTCCAGCCCAGCTTCCATCAGGTTTCCTTTCAGCAGCATCTGATGTCCCTAGGCCCCCAGCACCTGCCACGTGCTGAGGTGCATACCAGGTATCCAGTAGTAACTTAGGCCTCTAGGCCCCCAGCATCTGCCACATGCTGAGGCCGAAGCCAGGCATCTGTAGTATCTTAGGCCTCTAGGCCCCCAGCACCTGCCACATGCTGAGGCCCAGGCCAGGCATTAATATCACACAGGCCTCCTCCCATGGAGGGCCCAGGGGGCGGAGAGAGTTCTGGAAAGTGTCCCCAAACCTTTTATCACCAGCCTTCAGCCATACCTCTGAGTCATCCTGCTCAGGGATTGGTTAGAGTCAAGTGCACAGCCACAGTCTGAGAATGGATCCTCCCTCACAGTATGCGGAGTTCTCAACCCAGCAACAGGGGGAGCAATCAATCCAGCAAACTCAGGGAAACCTGTAGAACGCAGAACTCAGAATAAAACAGTATCTAGACTGGTTACAGTCCAGACATACACTAAATTTGGTAGAGACATTTCAGAGGGC